GGATCCTCCAAAAGCACCCAGAGAAATGCCATTGCCAAAGTGGTTAAACAAAGGGGGATGCAGGCAGAGGGAATCGCAGCATCCCCTTTGGCATGCAGCTGACTGCCATGAGCAGCCTGTATGTGGGGAACTGCATCTGCCAAGGGAAAGGCTAAAGCAGTGCCAATAGCTGGGGAGAGCCAAAAAAGCTGGCTGAAAAACTTACCAAAGGAGCAGGGGCCAAAGATTACCCTCAAACAGGCCCAGAGAGCACAGAGGTGTGGCCATGGATGGAGCTCTCTGAGTGCCAGGCCCAGCAGAGTAAGAAAGCAGGGACAGCCTCTGGAAGCATTTAACGGGCAGTTCTCTGTCTCTGGAAACATTTCCAGAACAATTGGCTGTATCTGCTCCAGTTCAGCCAGGAATGCTTCCTGGAAGAACTCGATTACCCCACAAGCCTCACAATTTACTGGCTGGGTCCAGCACTATCAGAGGAGGCCCAGACCCGAAACAGGCCCAGAGCCATAAATAGCCTTTATCAGGAAAACATCACGTCCTCGTGAGCTGTGGCTGTGACACAGCTCGGACAAGCCCTGCTCCAGCACATCAGGAAGCTGCTCTCAGCCCTCAGCACATACTTGGCCCCCTCCAAATCCCAAGTAAAGCTTGGCTGCTTCCCACTCTCTGTGCTGGAGGGATGGCTCAGGGTCCTTGTCACATGTGCTTGTCACACCTGGGCCCACGTCACCCACACAGGGTGGGGTGGTGGCAGATCTGCTGCCCTGGGCATCAAACCCATGGCAGAGAAGGGGACCCTGCCAAGCCCTGGGGCTCCCCTCAGGAGAGGGCCAGCTCCACCTTAAGCTGCAAAATCAGAGAATCCCAGAATGGTTTTGGTTGAAAGGACCTTAAAGCTCATCCAGTCCCACCCCTGCCATGGCAGGGACACCTCCCACTGTCCCAGGTTGCTCCCAGCCCCAATGTCCAGCCTGGCCTTGGGCACTGCCAGGGATCCAGGGGCAGCCACAGCTGCTCTGGGCATCCTGTGCCAGGGCCTCACCAGCCTCACAGTCAGAAATGCCTTCCAAATATCCCATCTGTTCCTGCCCTCTGTCCATTTGAAGCCATTCCCTGTGTCCTGTCCCTCCATCCCCTGTCCCCTGTCCCTTTCCAGCTCTCCTGGAGCCCCTTCAGGCACTGCCAGGGGCTCTGAGCTCTCCCTGGAGTCTTCTCCAGGTGAACACCCCCAGCTCTCCCAGCCTTGCCTGCAGAGCAGAGGGGCTCCAGCCCTCATAACATCTCTGTGGCCTCCTCTGGACTCATTCCAGCAGCTGCACATCCTGCTAATGCTGGGGACCCCAAAGCTGGAGGCAGCATTGCAGGAGGGTCTCACAAAAGCAGAGTAGAGGGGCAGAGAACAGAGAAGAGAGCCAAGGAGAAGACAGCTGCCAGCCTGAATCTGACTTGGTTTCTCCTCTTCCCATCAGCTCAGCAGCTCCTCTCCTCCTCAGAAAGGCCTGTGACCCCAAGGGATGACACCAGATGTCTGACAGTCAGAGAGTGTCACCACCAGCAGGGCAAAACCATCCCTTGTCACCCCAGCAAGACCAGGACTCCTGGTGCTCAGTGCTGTAGCAGCACAACAAAGAGAAGGCAGGGACCAGAGATGCCCTGCTGTGATGGAAAGGAGCTGCACAAGGGATGAAGGGCTGGGAGCAGCAGCCATCAGCTGCTGTCCCTGAACAGCACAGCCGTGCAGGCAGTGTCCATGCTCTGTCCCTGAGCAGCACAGCCATGCAGGCAGTGTCCATTCCCTGGCCCTCAGCAGCACAGCCATGCAGGCAGTGTCCATGCTCTGTCCCTGAGCCCCACAGCCGTGCAGGCAGTGTCCATGCTCTGTCCCTGAGCCCCACAGCCGTGCAGGCAGTGTCCATGCTCTGTCCAGCCAGCCCAAGGGCACACAATGGCTCTGCCCCCGCCGTGTCTGAGCAGAGCCAATGGGCAGGGGAGGTAGAGGGAGAAACGCTCGATGTGCTGCATGGGAGGGAGGGGAGGGGAGAGGAGGGGGAGGCGCAGACAAAGAACAGGGAGATGGAGAGAGAAAAGCAGGCAGGGAGCAGAAGGTGAAGCGGGGAGGACGGGGCTGGGCTGTGTGCAGCCCCTCGCAGCGAGGAGCAGCAGCCAGCCCCTCGCAGGGCCTGCAGGAGCGGCAGACCAGCCCAGCCAAATGAAAATCTCTTAACCACACTGAATTGTTAACTGCCCCCAAATCCTTTTGTGCTGGGGCTGCGAGCTTAGAAGAGCTTAAGCTGTTAGATGCATGAACTTCCTCCATAAATATCCCTTGTGCACACTGCCGCGAGCAGGCTGCCGTGCTATTAGCCAGATGAAAAACCCAGCAGAGAAAATGAGCAACTCCTTCCAGCTGCACACAGGGGTTGTCCATTCCTTGGGATGCCCTTCTCTACCTGGACCCTTTGTGGAGCAGGACCTGGCCTCCCATGCTCCCTGCCACGTCCTGTTCGGGCGCCTGAGTGTGTGAGAGAACCTCACCCCCAAAGCCAGCTCAGATTTGCTATTGTTTTGTTTCTGGAAAGGGGCCCAGATTCCCTCCCACCCCTGGAAACACGAGCAAACCTGCCAGCCACATGTAGGAGTGAGTCCCCCAAGCCAGGCGGCTCCGCCGCTGCCTCTGCAGGGAGCGGGGCAGGGACCCGGCGGGAGGAGGGCGGGGATGCAGGGACATGTCCCAAAAGGACACATCCCGCAGGGACACAGACCACAGGGACACAGACCACAGGGACACATCCCACAGGTCATTCCCGAGCAGAGCTGGGCGAGCAGCCCCTTCCCAGCCCTTTGTGCGGCTCACTGGGAGGGCTGGGAGGAGAGAGGACGGGGATTCCATGGCTGTCCTGCCAACTCTGTGTCTGGCTCTCCTCCCACACCCCACTCCTCTTCTGGGGGCTGCCAGGAAAAAATGGAGGGGCACAATCCTGGGGCGCATCCAGTCCTGACTGCACCCCACGTGATAAGGGCAAGGGAAAGAAGGAACGGGGAAGGCAAAGGCAAAGACTGAAGGGAAAGGGAAAGAAGGGGGGGAAGGGGAAGGGGAAGGGGAAGGGGAAGGGGAAGGGGAAGGGGAAGGGGAAGGGGAAGGGGAAGGGGAAGGGGAAGGGGAAGGGGAAGGGGAAGGGGAAGGGGAAGGGGAGGCAGCCCCGAGCCAGCTGCCCCATGGAGACGATGGGCTGGCGGCCACCGCGTGATTAATGAGGGCGGGGAGCGCGGGGCCGGCGCTCGCCAGCACCGGCTGCAGGAACAGCTGCCGAGGTACTGGACCTCCCAAAATCCTGCTGCTGCTGCTCCTGCTGCTGCTGCTGCTGCAGCCCAGACAAAGGGGGACCGGCCTCTCCCTCCTTGCCCCGCCTCGGCCCCCGCTCCTGCCGGCTCTGCTCCCCCAGCCCTGCGGCACAGGGCTCTGCAGGAGCGGTCCCTGTGAGGGGACGGTCCCTCGGCTGGGCCCGAAGCGGCACCGGGAGCTCCCCGAGAAACCCCGGCTGCACCAGAGCAATGCACCGTGCAGGGCTGGGTCTGCTCCGGGAACAAACAGGCAGAGACAGAAAGGCTGCCATGAATCACTGGGGCTCTCTGGTGTTGCTACGGATGCTTCACTTGGGAGTTGTAAAAGCCCCGTCTGTCCTTCGAGGCAGGGATTAGCCGGGCTCAGTTTCCAGCAGCGCTTCCTTGCTGCCCCGATCCCCATCCCTGCTAAGGCTGTAAGACACTTGATCTGCCCGAGCTCGGTGGGAAGAGGCGTTCAGTGGCTAAGCATGGAGTTGCTGAAATAATGGATATTAAATGATCCCCACAGCACACCAGGACCTGAATTTTGGTGCATGAGCAGCACAGCCACCAGCAGCAGACATGGAGCCCTCTCCAAGGGGACCATACAGCTTGCAGTCCCTACACAGCACAATCAGATTGTCCATTCCCCTCTCCAGTGTGTCTGTCTCCCACCACCAGCGCCTTCCCCATGCTTTGGTTCTCCCTGGCCAACCCTTCACAGCCAGAAGAGAAGAGACACAGCTCCTCCCTTGGCTCTGCAGTGGCCACCAACGTGTCTGTAATGGATCTCAGAAGCCCTGGCTCTGCTTGGAGTGTGCCAATGCTATCAGAACCACAGAGGGATTTGGAGATTCAGCCAGGACAGGGGAAAAAGATCCTGTTTGCCAAACTCTGTGGTTTGCTCCATGCATGGCACAGCTGCAGGTGCCCATCACACAGCTCTGGGGTCCCCACCTCCCTCCCAGCAACCCCAGGAGCTCCTTTCTCAACCTTCCTGAGCCCATGTATGACTGGACAGGGCACAGACATCAGCTCAGGGAGGGGGTGCTGAGCCTCTTGCTGGCCTGGGACCAGGCTGGCTCCAAGGTGCTCAGCTGAGCTCAGCAGGCACTCACAGAGTCTGCTCTGAACATCTATGGGGGAGGAGAACATCTACAGAGGCAGAACATATAAAGGGCAGGAAACCTCTGGCTGTTGAAGAGCACAGGGGCCAGGCAGCTCTGAACAGGCCACGACCATGTCCTGCCCTGGGCCATTTGCACCTCGCCAGGAAAACACTGTAGACACACCAGGAAAACACTGTAGACAACTTGCTCCCTCCCACTGCACCCTTTTGGGACCCTGCATCCAAGAAGAGATTCAGCCCATGCCAAAGCACACAGCAAAACCAACAGCATAACAGCCCCAGTATTTTGGGATGCAGTTGCAGATTGGTGACATGCACCACACGTGTGAGCCTCCAAAACCTGGAGAGGCACCAGCAACAGGTGCCAGCCCTGAACCCAGCGGCTCTGGGGACCCGGAGGTCATGGACAACCTCTGCAATGGACGGATGAGCCTGGGGCAGGAGTCAGCCTCCACACTGCCCCTCTGCCACCCCTGTCCAAGGAGCTCCCTCCCTCTGGTCCATGCAGATCCCAGATGCAAACCCCCAGAAGAGGAGAGCCCATGGTTACCTCTGCAGACGGTCCCGTTCTCCACGGACTCGTAGCCAGCGCGGCACATGCAGCGGCCGATGGGCACCAGCCACTCGCCGTCACCGTTGCAGTACAGCTTGATGGGCACGTCCACCTCCTCTGCATTGGCAATGCACGTGCCCCTGGCTGCCACCAGCGAGGTGCTCTCTGCTCCCGACAGGGTTTCCTGGAAGACAGCCCCGTTCTGGATGACACGGGGACATTTGCGGTAGAAGACACGGACGGCAATCAGGGACATGCAGCCCCCATAATCCTGGAAGGCCAGGTAGAAACCGTTCTTGGAGACGGGCCCAAAACTGCGCACCTCGGTGTTGATCTTCATCACCCGTCCACCTAAGTCCACCTGTGAGAAGCTCTCATCAGCAGCGATCGTGTCCACCTTCATCCAAGGATTCTCCATCCAGTTAGGAAAAGTCTTGGTGGCCGAGTCCAAGTCCGACTCGAAATAGTAGAGGTTAAAAGTCTCCTTACAGGAGCCTGGGACATTTGGGATGCTGCTGCAGTCCCGGACAGAGAATTTCATCTCCACGTGGATGCGGTGTGCTCCTCGCCTGCGGATGTACTTGGTGCGGAGCCAGTTGTTCTGGCTGGACTCAAAGACGTTGCACACCTGGTAGGTGCGGATGGTGTTCATGTTCTCATCGTACCCACTCACCTCTTCCCACTGCGGGCAGGACACACACACACAGTCAGGGGCTGCTCTGAAGGGGTGCTCCCCACCCTGCTCACCTCCTCCCATCCCCACAATGTGTCACGTAGGCTCTGCCAGCCCCAACTGCCCCTCTCTGTGCCCACCCCATCCCACAGGCAGTCCCAGAGTGCCCAGCACCTCCTCCCAGCACCCCCTGCAGGTGCCCTGTACCTGCCTGGGCAGGGTCTGACCCACCCTGTGCCCCAGGCAGGCTCCACACTGTGCAGACAAAGGGGCCCCTCAGGCCACCTTGCTGCCCCTAGCACCATGCTCCATGCCTGCATTCAGGGTCAAGCCTCTCTGCTCCTGGAGGGACAGCAAGGCCACTGCTCTGCAGAAATGGCTTTAATAGGGACTGTGCCCATGGCTGCACCGCACTGCTGTGCCTCTGGCAAAGGAACACAGGACTGCCACCAGTGCCACTATGGTTACAGACATGGCAACAGGACCTGCTTCCTCATAAGCCATAAAACCTCCTGCCTGGCTGCAGCCAGGGCCTCCTCCCAGGGGCAGGATGGGACCATGGCCAATCCTACTGCGTTTCCAAAAAGGGAGGTGCTGGGTAAGTCCCACTGGAGCCCTCATCCCTGCCCCTTCGCCGGTCAAATGCTTTGGGGCTCCTCCAGCAGGTGTGCTCAGGTCCCAACCCCAGCTGTCCTGAACTGGATCTCTGGGATGCAGACATGCCTATGAGCTGTGCCATGACAGCAATATCCTTCTCAGACAGACAGCTCAGAGCTGACAGATTTCCCCATGGGAAGCTCTGCCCAGCTCTCCCCAGCTGACTGACTCTGCCAGCTCTAGAGGAAGCTCTGTAGAGCTACAGAGAACATCCTGAGCTGGAAAGGACCCACAAGGATCATCAAGTCAACCTCATGGCCCTGTACAGTCACCCCAACAATCCCACCCTGTGCTTGAGAGTGGTGTCCAAACCCTCCTGGAGCTCTGGCAGCCTTGGGGCTGTGCCCACTCCCTGGGGAGCCTGGGCAGTGCCTGCACCCTCTGGGGCAAGAACCTTTCCTAACCTTCCAGTCTAAACCCCCCTGACAGAGCTCCAGCCGTCCCCTTGGGTCCCCACAGAGCTCAGGGCTGCTGTGACATCATCTGGCCTTCTCCAGCTCTCTGCCCTTTTCCCAGGCTGTTTTTCCCAAATCCTCCAGTTCTTGTTGTCTCCATTCTGTGTAGGATGGGGATATCTCAGAGGGGGATGCAGGGCATGAGCTGCAGCCTGTAACTGGCCACTGCTCCTCTGAGGGGAGCACCAGCAGGGAAGGGTCTGTTGAGACCCTTTGTGGGAGGAGAACCCTCAGCTCACACAGCATCTCCTCCTGCCCAGCCCCTGCCAGAGTGAAGAGCATCTCCCTGCAGTCCCATCCCCACCCAGGGCACCTGTGTGATGCTGGCAACAGGGACCAGAATCCTGCTGGCGTGTGGCACAGTCCCAGCCAGCTGGAACTGCTCCTTCTGAATGTGTTCAGAAACCTGCTCAAGTGGAAGCCGAGCTGTTTCCCATGGATGTTACTCCCCAAGCACAACCCTGCCCTGGGTGCAGGATCACAACGCCCAGGGCAGGGCAGCAGCACAGCCCAGATCCAGCACCAGTGCCAGGACCAAATCCAGGGAAAATCCTGCAGGAGCAGAGCATCCCCAGCCTCTCAGGTTGTAAATGGCCTCACAAGGGCACCCAGGACTGGGGAAAGAGGCTCAGGAGATGGGAGACAGATTGCTCCTAGCACATCAAGGCTCACAGCCCAACAGAAGGCTGTCAGGGAAGATCCCCAACAGCTCCAACCACTTCAGATTGGCAGTAGCTGTAAATCTGCTGCCAGGGCTGGGGGACAAGAGGAGCATCCTCGCAAAACACAGCCGGGGCATTTGCTTTGTTTTCCAGAAATAAATTTGGTGTGTTAGTGGAAAATTGCAGGATCTCCCTGCTTTTCAGGGCACTGGTTGGGAGGAGAGTGGGGGAATCAAGGACAAAGCATGTGGAAGCAATTCCTTTCCTTGCCCTGCCTTCTATGTGGCTCTCCCTCACCTGGACCACTCCAGACACCCACCCTGGCAGCTACCAAGACCAAGGGACCCCCACCCACACCTGCCCAGCCCCCAGGGAGGGTAAGGACACAAGCCCAGAGAGCTCAGCCTTGGTCAGGCAGGAGCAGCACATGGTGGAATGAGGGTCTCCAGGCCTTGGGATCCACAGCAGTCAAAGGCAGGGCTTGGGGACTCATATGAATGGCACAAGAGTTTCAGAGCCAGACAAAAAGCAACTGTTTGGGCTTTGGGGTCTGTAATAATCCCCAAAAAGGAGCATACGGCAGCTTCTGTCTTCCAGGTGATGCTGGCTGCATCCAACCTGACCAGCCACCTCTGAGTGGGATGCACTGCCTTGTCCTGCCCGCGGACATGAGGCCATGAAGGCACTGCAGAGTTGTCACCCATGATGAACCCAGAGCAGGACATGATGTGCCCATATCCCCCCTCAGGGCCCTGCTCACAGGTGGAGACAGGAGGCGATCTCACCAAGCCCTGGGACTGCATGGCACTGTCCAGATGGGCATCTCCACCCTGATGGGGGACCTGGGAGCACTCTGGGGGCCAGCTTTGGCATCCCCAGCATCCCCCCACATCCCTGCCACAGCAAGTGGCTGCCTCCAGATTCCCTTTTCCCAGATGGGAGAGAAAGTCACCCCCGTGCACCAGCCCCTGCGCTTCCTCGACGCTTAATTAGAAGCCTCTCCCTTTCTCTTGGCTCTCTAATTAACATGCCGGGAGCTCAAAGGAAGGCAGCAGCACAATAACCGGGGAGAGGCTTCCAGCAGGCCCCGGCCTCATTACGGCCGCGCTGGGGAGCGGGAGCAGGGCGTGCTTCACATATGGAAACACCGCAAACAAGAAAGGCTGGGCCACGAGAGAAAGAGACTTGACCTCTTCTCCCCTGCATTGTGTGCCCGTCATCCCCCTCGGTGGGCACCGGCGGGGCCGGACAGCTCTGCCCTTTCTCATGGTGACGGGCAGCGCCCGTGCCTGGCGCGGCACCGCGGCCACGCTGCACGGCTCGGTTTAATCTCCCAGACAAGGCTGCTCTGGGCTCGCTCTTTTCTCCTGCCAAGTCGGCTCAGACCGGGGGCATGCTGTCAGCCTGGGGGTGAGGGCCACAGAAACGTCTTCATCCAGCCCCTGCAGAGGGTGGATGGAAGGCAGGACGGAGCCTGAGCCACCACTGCCATGCACGGGCATGGAAGCATCTCCAGCATTTGGCCAGGCTGGGTTGGGCCACCCAAGTGCAAGGGGGCAGGTCTGGGGGGTTGGACACTGTGGCTGCTGCTGGTTACCACAGCCAGAGGTGGGCAGGATGCTCTGAAGCACCTTGATGCCCCACATGGGACACAGAGGTGGCTCCACTCTGGTTTTCTCCCATGAGCAGAAGGGTGCAGAAATCACAGTCACAGAATGCTCTGAGGTGGAATCATTGAGTCCCACTCCTGGCCCTGCCCAGACACCCCAGCAATCCCACCCTGTGCATCCCTGGGAGCGTTGCCCAAATGCTCCTGGGGCTGTGCCCATTCCCTGGGGAGCCTGGGCAGTGCCTGCATCCTCTGGGGGATAAACCTGATGCACTGCCTTGCCCAAGATCTCCTTTAAAGGAGTTTCTTCAGAGTGGTCTTTGAACATGTTTCAGGGTACACCTGGCCCTGGTAAGGAAGACAGGTAGTTCTGCTGAGCCAGCAAACATCTCTCTGTGGGATGCCAGTCCTCTGAGGACCTGAGCCTAATGCCCTCATCCTGCTACAAGTGACAGGCAATGGAATAACAACTGAGGGCACTGGGGACAAATGATGGTGGCCTTGGCATATTGTTTCTTCCTCTCCTCATTTTTAGGTGGCTGCATGCCAGCTCCATGGAGATTGTGATTCCTCCAGCACCACACTATGTGACTCTGTGGGGTGGGAACTACATCCCACCAACACTGGGGTATTTTTTGGAGTATCATCTCCTAGAAAAATACTGGAAACCTCAACTGTCCTCTTTCCACATGGCCAGGGCACTTTGCATCAGTGCCTGACATTTCCTGGGCCAAGCCTGCCACATCCATGTGCAGAAGAGATCCCAGAGCAGCTGCAGGTGCCTGTCAGGTGATGCCTTACCCCTGAGGGAGGATGCACTGTCCAGCCCAGCTCTGCTGTCGCCGTGGTGGAGTCCATCAGTGTCTCTGCGGAAGGAAGGGGAACAAGGAGTCACTGGCTGCTGATGAAAGGACTGAAGATGGAGACAGTGAAAAAGGTGGAGAGGCGCTAGCTCAGGGCTGCAGGGCTGGAGCCCACCCCACACTGAGCCCTTTGGCCACATCTCAGCCAGGGGACCCAGGCACTGGTCCCTCCATCCAACTGCTCCCCACCCACTGCCCACTGCTCCCTGGCCCCCACGCAGAATCATGGAATCAAAACATGTTAAGGTTGGAACTGACCTCTGAGATCATCACGTGCAACCATCAGCCCACCACCAAACAATGTTCATCATTAAATCATGTGTTCATCATTAAACCATCATTAAACCACTTGTGAACCACTTGTTCACAAGTGCCACATCCATACATTTTTTACCATCTCCAGGGATAGTGATTTCACCACTGCCCTGGGCCAATGCCTGATCATCCTTCCCATGAAGGAACTTTCCCTGATATCCAATCTAAACCTCCCCTGGCACAGCTTGAGGCTGTTTCCTCTTGTTCTGTCTCTTGCTCCTTGGGAGCACAGCCTGACCCCTGGGCTGTCCCCTCCTGTCAGGAGCTGTGCAGAGCCACAAGGTCCCTCCTGAGCCTCCTTTGCTCCAGGCTGAGCCCCTTCCCAGCTCCCTCAGCCTCTCCTGGTGCTCCAGCCCCTTTCCCAGCTCCATTCCCTTCCCTGGACACACTCCAGCCCCTCCATGTCTTAATTTTCATTAGGGACCTAAAACTGACCCCAGGATTTGAGGTGGGACCTCAAGGTGCCCAGCCCAGGCAATGTCTCCTGCTATGAATGGGGACTCTTCCATCCATCAGCAAAGCCAGATTTTCCTCCTCTCAATCCTAAATCCAGGTACCCCCAGCCCAGTTCTACTGCTGCAGATGACGAGCAGCCTGAGCAGGGATCCTCCATCACCTTCTAGTTTCCTTTGCCAAAAGCAGGATATGTTTTTTCTCAGCACTTTGCACAGTAGGGAGAATCCTCTGAGATGCAGTAGGATGTGGGGAGGAACAGCACTTTTAGGACTTAAAAGTACTAAAAAATTAAACCACTGTTAAAGCTGGTTTTCCAGATGATTTGGGTTGAAATAGGTCAGGTGATGCTACCACCAACCAGCACAGACAAGTCCTGCTAAGCCAGGCAACAGCAAAGCCTCCTCACCCTTCCTGCAGCTCATGACGCTCCAACACTGGAGTTCTTTTCATCCCCAATAGCTGTAGGTTGGCTCAACTCCACTGATGCCACTGAGGGCTGCTCAGGTTATGGCACCCCAATATCTGGGCCAACATGAGCAGGTGAAGGTGCCAGCCAGCCCCATCAGAAATCAGACACTTGGAATCATGGTTCGAAAAGCCAGCTAACATCATTGAGTGCAACCATTACTGCAGCACTGCCATGTTCTGCACCAAACCGTGTCTCTAATAACCACATCTACTCACTTCTTTAACACTTCCCAGGGAGTGCTCAAAAGTCTTTTTTGGACACTTCCATGAGTGGCTTCCAGAGTCTGGGCAACTCTCTGTTCCTCCAGGTCTGCAGCCACATGCTCGTGGCAATACAGGGATTTTTCTGCACCACAACCAAGGCTGACAGTTTAAGAAAACAGGACAATATTCCTGAGTTTAGGAAATGCAGTTTAGAAATTCTGCCCAAAGGCCTCAAAACACCGAGGCTGGACATGAGGGGAGTGTGGTGGGACACACTGCACAGGGCAGCACATGGCCAGTGACTGTGCTGAGACCATGGCCATGCCCAGAGGGGAGATTCTGTCCCTCTGCCCTGCAGGGACAATGGGAATCTGCCCTGATTTCAGCACATGCCCTGGGGATGCCAAGTGCACTTGCAGGGAGGCTGGGAAGGTGCATCCCATACACACCAGGAGTCCCAGAATGGTTGGGGTTGGGAGGGACCTTCAAGACCATCTAGTCCCACCCTCCTGCCATGGGCAAGGACACCTCCCACTATCCCAGGTTGCTACAAGCCCCATCCAACCTGGCTCTGGACACTGCCAAGGGTGGTCCCAGAATGGGAATGGAGAGCTATGGGTGTAACCATGTCCTTCTGCTGCGCTTCTCCCCACCAGAAAAACAAGCACACTGCCACAAACCCCATCTCCACCTTCTCCACTTTCACTCCAGTGAACAAAAACAAAGGAAGAAAAGCTCAGCCTTGAGCAGATCTATCACTGAAGAGCCAGGCCTGGATGCAGAGGTGACAACTGCTCCATGCATGTGCCCTCCTGTTCTAACTGGCACCCCAAAAAGTGCCAGGGCAGCACTGTGCTCCCTGCACCTACTCCTGGCAGTAAATCCTCCTCAGACTGTGGCTTGTTCATTACTCCTGGTTCCAGCCAGCGGTTTCCAGTTCACAGGAAACCAGGATTTCGAAATTTGGTTTTATTCCAAGAGTAAAAAGCAAAAAGTAGTTCTTTCAATTTTTCCCACTAAGAAGAGTTCTGGAAAACAGCTAATCCCAAAATGTTGTGGGTCAGATTTACAAAATTTCTTTTTAAACTGAGTATTTGTTTACATAGGCCAATAATAGTGTTTACTTTATCAGAGGATCTTGCTTTTTCATTAAAACACCAGTGGCGTTTGATCTGAAATGAAAACAACATTTTTCACACAGTGCTAGCAAGAAGCTTTAAAAACCCCCTGAATTTGTTACTTTATCTTAACTATCAATGACAGTGGTGCATAGTAAGTACATTAATAGCAGTGACTAAAATGGAAAACAAGATATATTCTAAGTCATTACAAATAATTCCCCAAACAAAGTTCATATTTTGAAGCATTTTACATTTTTAAAAGCCTTTTATTTAATGAAAACTCAGTGCAGTGGAAATGTCATGCTCAGTACACCACTGCTCACACCCCCTTATCCTCAGCTGAAGGATCCCTTGGAGCTCTGCATCCACTCTGGCTGGCCCAGAGAGAAGGAGGAGAAGAAATTTGCAGGTTTTAAGCAAGTTTTTCCAAAGGCAAATTATCTTCCCATAAAAAACACCAGATATTCCATTAATTTTAGTCTGGATTTACACCATTTACCTGCCAGCTATTGGATTTCCTTTTCCTTTTACAAAGACTCTGCAGTCCAAAACCCTTCTCTCTTGTGGTGCTCACGGGTGGCAAATGATCCATCTCCAAGACAGCTAAATTAGCTCAGCTTCCTTCTTCTTCCTCCCTAAACCTGGTTCCTGTTTGAGGCTCCTGTCTATCAGCCTTCACAGTGCAGGGGGTCCCAGGGCTGTGCTCCCCATCACACACAGCTCTAACACCCCAATGTGCCCCTTCTGGGGCAGTTTTTGCACCAAGCTGCTGCCCAGGCTGAAATCCTTTTGGAGATGGGGTTACACAGAGCAGAGAGCACCTGAATTATACAAAATTGGGAATAACTGGTCCACATGAAGCACAGTGACCCTGCAGGGTCAGCACAAGGGGATGTGAATCAGAACCATGAAACCACAGAATGGTTTGGGAGGGACCTTAAAACTCATCCAGCTGCATGGGCAGGGGCACCTTCCACTGTCCCAGGCTGCTCCAGGCCCTGTCCAACCTAGAATTACAGAATCATAGAACAGGCTGAGCTGGAAGGGACCCACAAGGATCATGGAATCCAACTCCTGGCCTTGCACAGGGAACCCCAACACCCCCAGCCTGTCTCAGAGTGCTGTCAAAACACTCCCTGAACTCAGACAGGCTTGTGACCACTGTCCTGGAGAGCCTGTTCAGTGCCCAACCAACCTCTGGCTGAAAAACCTTCTCCTAATATACAGCCTAAACCTCCTCTGACTCATCTCCAGACATTTCCTCAAGTCCTGTCACTGCTCACCAGAGGGAAGAGATTGCTACCTGCTTCTCTGCTGCCCTTCAGGAGGATGTTGAAGAGCACAATGTCGTCTCTTCCAGTCTCCTCCAGGATGAAAAGACCAAGTGACCTCAGCATCTCCTCATATGGCTTTCCCTCCAGACTCCTTCTCCATCCTCATGGCATCCTTTGGATTGTATTTTCTCTAACTGCTTCATGTCTTTTTAACATTGTGGTGCCCAATCTGCCCCAGCACTCGAGGTGAGGCTGCCCCAGTGCAGAGCACAGCAGGACATTCCCCTCCCTTGCCTGGCTGGCCATGCTCTCCCTGATGTCCCCCAGGACATGGGTGGCCCTCCTGGCTGCCAGGGCACTGCTGACTCAGATCCACTGACCAGGACCCCAGGTCCCTTCCTGCAGCTGCTCTGCAGCCTCTTGTTGCCTGCTCCACCCACACACCCAGGGCTGCCCCATCCCCAGTAAAGAATCTGGCACTTTCTCTTGTTGAACTTCACACGGTTGGTGATGGCTCAGTTCTCTATTTTGTTGAGGTCTCTCTGCAGGGCCTCTCTGCCTTTGGGGGAGGCAACAGCTCTTCCCAGTTTTGTATCCTCTGTGAACTTGCCTCATATTCCTTCCAGTGCTGTGTCCAAGTCATTGGATGCTGAAGAGTGCAGGGCAATGACAAAGCCCTGCAGTGACAGGTCACCAGTCTGATGTCACCCCAGTCACTGTCACCCATTGTGCCTGACCCCCAGTTTCTCACCCATCACATGATGTGTTTATCTGGCTGGGGGCTGGACAGGTTGTCCAGAAGGATCCTGTGAGAGACAGTATCAAAAGCTTTGCTGAAATCAGTAAAGATTCCATCACCTGGCTTCCCCTCATCAACCAGGTGGGTTTACCCAGTCAGAGAAGGAAATCAGGTTTGATAAGCAGGGCTTTCCCTCATGAAGCCGTGCTGGCTGTGACCAATGACTACATTGTCCTCCAGGTGTTTTTCAATACTTCTCAGAATAATGCTCTCCCTTGATTTGACCAGGCAATGAAGTGAAACTGACAGGCCTGTAGTTTCTAGGGTCCTCCTTCTTGCCCTTCTTGAAAATTAGAACAATGTTCGCTGACTTCCAGTCAGCTGGGACCTCTTTGAAATCCCAAGACTGCTCAAAAATCACCAAGAGAGGCTTTGCAATGACATCA